TATTTTGGGCCCCGAATAAGTTCGTTACATGGCCTTGTACTAGGGCGTATTCTTTTTTCTATTTCTTTAAAATTTTAGATGTCGATGCTTAACACTAAACACAATGTGAACCGCCAGCTTGCCACGTTGATACAGAGCGTAGATATGACAGGATTGTAGACTAGCTCACTCGCTCGTGCACAAACAGAAGCTGCGTGGGTACACTACAGAAGGAGACTTAGTAAGAAAGTATCGATTTTCCGTTACATTTGGCGTAAGCGTTGTTATTTTTTTCTTCCGTAGCGGGCTTTGATTGGATTCGGCCAGTGAGCCGTGTTGAATTCTGAATAACGCGAAGTAACGAAGAAGGTTACATAACGTCTTATCAATCGCAGACAACGGTTCGTGTAGCTATCTTAATTGTTTGATAAAATGTAGAAGTAGGTGCGTTCGGTTGCGACATGAAATATTTTAGCTCCACCACCATTAATTACATTTAAATCCGAGTGTAACTCTAGTGTTGTTTACATTGTCTTTTGACATTTTTGTCTAATACCTATACATATAGGTACTTATTAAATGCAAAAAATGTCCAACAGCTTATATAGTACACGTCCACTGCTGGGCAGAGGCCTCTGCAGAAAGGATTATTAAGCTGAGGTGATAATAGGTTGACCATATAGCTACCCAATAACCAATGGAGAAGAAAGATATTTGAGTAGAATCCTCGTATTGGCCATCGTAGTGCAGGACGATCACCCACTAGATGAAGTGACGAACTATGCACATGACGTGTAAGAAGTTGATATATGTAGGTAGTTCAGGATCATGCTTCGTGGCACTCTGTGGTGAGGCCTAGGTGAGTTCAGCAGTGGAATCGAACAGGCTGTAATAATGATGAAGATGAAAGTGAATAGGGCAGTGAGAAATAGACGCCTGTGCCGAATAAAATCTTTATCCGAGTATATTTTATTAGGTATACTGCGTGAATGGAATGTATTGAGTGTTTTGTAACATTGCAACATCGAGAAAGGTCCACCTTCCTTAGGGAACAGACACCTAGATCCGGAAAAATCATCTATGGGTCAAACAAATACTTGTCCCATGTGGGCATGTATGTGTTTTATGTATGTGTTTTAATAATTGCTACCCGGTACACTTAACTGAAGACGGGTGAACTGTTTCCACTCGTTCCTGTTGAAAAAATGCTCGTGCCATTGAAATCGCTACCTGTTAAAGAAACACCCTTTGATAGCTGTTCCGTCGTTTGTACTGCCAGAGAGTACACGGGCCGGCAAAAACTGATGACATTGTTCTCGTACGGTTTCTGTTTGAAGGCACTTATTATAAGCTAACCCATATTCCCAAATCTAACCCACGAACGCCGCCGCTAGAGCCAATAGCTTAGCAACTGTGCCACCGAGTCGAGAAGAATAGATATCTAACAAACAGTTAAACTTATAATAAATATATTAAATTTTATAATAAGAATATAAAACCTAATGTGTTTAAATAATGTATTAAAAGCCTTGTTATTGCTTCTTAAAATTTGGGCTCATAGCTTTTAGTTCAGGAATTGAACTAGTGATAGACTCGTTTGTTTTACAGGCAGTGTTTATTAATGTTTACAATTGTAACGGTAAAAACAAATAAAGTGGTATACATTACGTCTGCACACAGCCATCATTAATATTAACTAATCAGAAACATAATGCTAAGAACGGTCGTGTTTCCGTGAAGGGCACATAAGAATTTTAATAAGTAATAGGTAAGTATTGTTGTTTCCGTTTTCCGTTGAGAAAAGTTTTGGGTATATCTGTAAATCTCAATCCATAGATATAGTTCTGATATAGAGTATAGTCCAAATAGACGTGTTTTTTAGAATTCTTAAATTTTTTCGGCCCAATATAAAATACATTTCATATTTGTTTATAATGGACTTTGCGTACTTGAATTTCTTATAACGGTACACTGACTTACATAAGGAGGGCAGAGTCAAAACCATTCCAACGCGAACGCAGCTTTGGCGCCCCTCCAAGAATTCTACGCACAACACGTTACGAGAGCAAGCAAGGTCGCAGCAACAGCGTAGGTCAAATGTCCGAAACGAAGAGGTTATGCAACAGACTAAAAACATCACTAATTATCTTATAACTATTGTGTTCAACATTAAAGCCTAAATAAAGTACTACTAATTGGCAGGCTCCACGGGGTTTCACGAAATAACGACGAAGTTTTCAAAACTATGTCTATTATCTTCTTTTTATTCATACTATTCATCATCATCATTTCAGCATAGGCCTTCCCTACAGACAATCACGAAGTACGATCCTGATGCACGCATCTCGTTCCTCCCTAACCCACGTTATAAAAGTTGTCAACACTTCTGCCATCGCTCAGCTGTTGCCGGTGGTGCTATTCACTTAAAATTAGATAAATGGTCAGCTCGCTTGATAACATTTCGCACAATAAAACGGGTACCTTACGTGCATTTTAAGTTAAACACCCAGTTATTATGGACTTATTAAATAGAAAATATTAAGTTAATTATAAAAATAATCGTTTGTCTAGAGGCTAAATAGTTGGTCACGCAATGGATTTGACATTTCTTAGTATATCTTCAACTACTGTTACAGAGCACATCGTCACTAATATTACGTTGGTGCATCCACCGATGAATACAATGTAACTAGAATATCTGGCCACATTTACATGACAGTGATTTTTTCATGTAAACAATGTATAAATGCGAAAACTGCCACTGGGATTGGAACCTGCGTAGTTAGATAAAAAAGAGACACCAAATGCTTAGCTGCCTTGCCACCAAATTCCTTTCAGCAAAGAGAATACAACGACTACGTACTGCCTTTCAGCAAGCAGCACACGTGCAACAACTTTGTTGACGTTCTGAAATGCAGGAACTAATCCACGGTCGATCTATAAATATAATGAAACGCAAATGTTAGCATTAGCGTATAATTACTGATAGAAAAATAAATAAATTAGTCAACGATTGACATAAGTTACTTTATCTGTCTTCACGCGTTCATAGATAATTTTATTAATCGTTAAACTGGTACTTAGAACTCCATCTATACACATAATAAAAATGTTACTGATCGTTGTCTGTATACGGAACATATGTGAGAAAAACTTCTATTCCAGTCCTTTATCAACGTAGTAAAACCCAAAACAATGGTTGTTAAAATTTTTGTCTGTTTATCTGTGTGTCTGTGCGCGCTAATCTCAGAAGCGATCTAACTGATTTGGGTGCAACTTTTGCTAATGCATTGTAGTAAGCTTCACTTAACATTTAGTGTAAATTTTATTTAAATCGGTTCATAAATAATAAAATTACACAAACTTACGACATTGAAGAATTGTGCGATAAAATGCTATATAATATCTACAGTTGAATTTGATTAAACTATTGTTAACTATATGTATATTATGGTCTATAAAATGATGATGATTTTAAGTTTACATAAAGTTAAAAAAAATGGGCCAAGTACGAGTCGAACTCGGCGCTTTCGTTACGAAGGGTTCTGAAGGTACTTTTTAAACACGATATTATAATGTAGTACATGCGGGCTTAAAGCAAGTCTCCAATATGGACGCCATCTTTGTACGTTACACAAAGGGGAACGGAAGATTTAGTAAATTTGTTTTGTGTAATAATTTTAATCGCACCTACCTATTATTAGAATAAAACTCTTGACACGTTTCAACTGATCTGAAGGGCTTTTTTTTTGGCACGACGCTCTTTGTTGCCGTCATAAATTATTTTTGGTCGACATAAGAAATGCAAGTGTCAAACATAGAGTCATGCAGATTTTGTTTTATTTAAAGCCTAGCTTGATGGTCCCAGGTTCGCTCATAGTGGGAATATTATTTTCTATAATTACAATCTGCCGAAAGTGAATACAAATAATAATAATTTAAGAAATAATAGAAATTAAACAAAATCTTGCAGATATAATTGAATAACTCTTTCGATGTAACCTAATTTGTGATTTCTTATATAAATGAAAAATTATTCTAGTTCTTAATTTACCAATACTATCTATCCTTCCCACTAATTTCCCAAATTTCGGGCTTCGTAGAAAAAAAAATATCTACGCCGTGTATAAATATAAATAACCAAATTAGTACGTGAATTTCAGTATCTTTTATTTAACTATTAAATCAGTTGGCTGATGTTTTTCTTTTCAGAAACTATTAAAAGCTTAATCTTACGCAGCATTTGTGGGCTAAAACCATTGCAACTTCAATAACACTTCTTTTAATGGTTGGTAACGCATCTGCAACCCAGTAGTTGAAGATGTCCATGGAAGGCGGAAATTCCTTAACATCAGGAGAACCTGCTTACCAACTTTTCAAATAAAAGAAATGGTCACTTTAGCTGCCATCGCGCTTCGTATTCTAGGTTCGATCCCCACTCATGATAAAAATTAGTGTCGTTAAAACAATTATAAAAGATGTACGAATGCCACTACCTACCTACTTACACTAGTCAAGACAAAGGAATGGTATATACACAAAATAAAAAACACATCTCTATTTTATTTATATTTATCGCAGCAAATTATCTACATTTTAATACATTTTACACAGACAATAAATACTTACAGTTAACAATGTAGAATATTAGCATAAGTAATTTGAAAACAGAACATTATTCAATTTCATTGGAATGATAAATTTATAACTTTTAAAGAGCTCTGTAATAAATACAGATGTTGTACAGATAACAAATATTTATTAACTTTGAATCTGAGATAATTCGATTGTCAGAAAACCTTTAGCACCTTAAGAACGAAAAAAATTACATGCAAGGCCGCAACACACTTATCCGATGAATAAAACAAATCCAATATCTGCTTAGTCTGTGCTATCGATGATTTAGACAGGTGTGTGCGGGGCTTTATTATCTATTTAATATCTATTACACATTATATTCTCTATTCTCGTAATGCAATCTCCCTGATGCGATGACAGAACTCTGGAATCGCGCGTGCTTACTTCGTGCCGTTGGCTATGGGATTGCCCTGGAAACAAATTATTATTATTATTTATTTATCCAATTATATTTTAGCGGATATCTTTTTTTTAATAGTTAAACACAATGAAATCGTCATAGTGTGCATTTTAACTTAATAATATATGGTTTACTTTTCAATTTTTCAAGTTTCCTCCATCTCATGAAATATTATTTACAATCTTATTCTTTAGCAAATGAAAAAAACATTTGAAATCAATAAGGAAATGTTCAGTATACGAGAACGGCAAAGGAACAATATTTATTATAAAAAGTCTAATAATAAGCATATTAGTTATATTTCTTCATATTTGACAGAAACGCGTACCTATCAGAGATAGCTAATAAACGTTAACTTAATCGGTGCATGAACCCAGTTTCGAACTTGATCTGCCAGACGAATACGTAACTAGCTCATCACTGCCTTTTAATGAAATTAGAATGAAAAGTTGTAAAAGACTGTATCTGTATCTATTCAGAAAAACGACGCAAATTATTTAAAAAAAACGCATCGATGTCGATCCAGTGTCCGATGTTATTTCCTTGTAGCTTTATCAACGGCAGACATAGAAACACATAGCGGCGATCGAACGAAAATAAGATACAAGTTATCGTTTTTGGAAGTAGATCTACCGTTTATTACTGACCATATAACCCTTTATAACCTTGTCCTATATTTCTCACTTGTTTATTTCTTTGTTTGGTACGTACGTCATAAGGTTATCACTTTAGATTCAGTACCCGGATAGAATACGCGTCTTTCTTATAGATTGCTCAAATAGTAAAAATATGAGAAGTCCTGTTTTTTTCGGAACAACAAGACAAAGCTAAAACTAGTCGGAAACCTCTAGCTGTTCAGCAAGTAAATGCAACGGGTAAAGTTAGGCTTATTTTATCGGGGCCTCACTAGGAATACTCGTTATCAAGAAATTATGACAGGCAATTGTACATTGACTTTCGATTGCAATTTTGAATTTTTTGTCTATTCCCATCTCTACCAATTTACAAGTTTGTTGAATGAATAAGAAGAACATTTATGTGGTGTGCTTATTTTTTTTATTAAACAATTTACTGATTCAACCCAAATAATTTTTGTTGTAAAAAAATCAATTTATGTCCATATTTATCATTACAATTTTTGCGAAATTAATACTTGATACGAATTAGAATGATGCTCCTTAAAATATTTATTTGTTTCTAATACACATTCGCTTGCGAAAATCAAAGTTAGAATTTTATTATCATACTATTACTTATTAAATGTCAGTTGGCGATATTTCTGGCCGATACGGTCTTTATTTTTATCTGTGCTCGAGGCGGGACGCCGCGTTTCCCGCGCGACTCGGGAGTTCGGGCGGGCTTAAATGGATTAAATTTAGCGCGCAGATCAAGGTATCCGTGTCAAGGATGCGGTCCGCGGGCCGTGCACCTTACGCAAGCGCAATACGGTCGACATTTGCGTGGAACATTACCAATTCGAAGCCGCAACAACGCAGGGCCCCCTAATGATTTCGTTATAGTATAAGAAAAAGTAAAATTTTGGAAGAGGTGTGCTGTGGAAGAAATATCGTAAACGTCCTATAGATGACAGGTGTGTTTATTTTTGTTTAATAAACAAACACCCAGGCTTTTTACCACCCGAGTAGAAGTACGAAAACACTGATATTCGAACAAGATAAGGTCTTATGAGCTGCTTAGGCTTTCCCGGATGCTGTTACTCAACGGCAGAAGCTGATGCCTGGCTCGGCTAACGAACTACGGCAATGAAACATTTTCTTGAGTTACGAGAAAAATCGAAAATTAAACAATAATTAGGTTTTTGGGGTGGGACGAACACTGTCTTATGTTTCATTATTTGGCCGGCTCGTCTGTTAATACCACGGCCACAGCAAGAGGGTAAAGGAGTGATTACGATTTTGTATTTCATTTGGTCGGTGGGATAACCGGCGTCAACCATTCTGAAGATTGGTCAGTGACGTGAAATTGTAATGGCCATGGGCAGCATTAACTACTTTACATCAGGTGAACTTCTGCATTTTTATTGTTCACTTTCGTAAGAAAATACAGAGCTGCTTTTGGCTAAGCAATAGGAAAAATGGGCGGTCACTTCTTAATTCAGAAACGTTTAAACGTTATGCAATCGATTATATAGTCTTCAACGGCCATGTGATAAGTGTAGCGCGTTATAGCTACGCTATTGAGGGTCACGATCAGGGTATCCATGCGGTTTTTATTTATCTTAGACTGTCTATTATTTTAACATCACACCCGACGGGAACTGGTAAGTGACGCACTAACGCAGAATAAAAATATTCACTAATATCTTAAATATGCTCACGCTGTTTTCGGACGGTAAGGTAAATGTCGACGGATCTTTCCACTTCCCTCATTTTGAATACACTAGTGATTAATCTAATATCGCAGCTGGCGTGTTTGCTAGGGGGCTATTTGGTTCGGCGCGGCACGTGGGTTCGATTGCAGCCCGCGCCAAGCACTTGTGGTGGCCGTAGGAAATTCTTTCCGTCGAAAGATTTGACTTTCATCAGGAGATAAGCAGGCTATAAGAGATGGCGTGGCAGGAGCAGTTCCAAAACTACTATAGTTTATAACAGAAGGTAGTTGTTATTTAAGCAATTTGTTTTATGTTAAAAAAATTATTTTAAGGAACAGTTTAATATTATTTTGTATAATAGGAATATAGGTATTCACTTTTCTCAATCACACTCATATTATGTTGACTAATTTTCCTTCATTTCATTCTTACTTCCGTTTATTAATAAATCTTATTTATTATAGCAATTCACAATAGAATGTAATATTTTTTGTTAACGTACTGGCTAATTTAACATTCCACCTATTGGTGTAAGCAGTGACATAACATCAGACAGTAATAATAATATTTACAGTCCTAGACAAAACGCAACACGTGGTGACGCTGCAGTCGGTGTTATCACGTGAACGCGTTTCTAATTTTAACCGCCTCGTGTTGGCAGCACTGTCTATCGCCTATCCACTGAGGCCAGTGCACGAAACTATAATGTTGTACGGCGGGACCTTTTTTATTTATTTTTTATTTTTAATCCACAACATTAAACGTATCTTTCAAGGTAAAAATAAAAAAACGAGCAAACAAAATGCTTTCATATGATTGGTAGAAGTGTTTTCATGGAAAAGTCTGTACGTTTGTTTACTTTATTTTAACTTTTGTATTATATCCATACACGTGTTTGACTTTTAAAATTTTATTATGAAAAAGTTTTTCATTTTCAATGTCCTATGGATGTATATTTTATAAGATTATTAACCAAGGCAAAACCTGTTATTTTATCCAGGATAATATCCTATTATCTGAACTGTCTAAAAAAAACTGCAAATGTATACCGGCGAAAATCAAACTGGAGATTTATGAAAAACATCTCTATGGAATTTTTTAAGCACACTAATGTGTCACTAATTTGAGAACTCTTGAAAAATTATTCAATTCAATAAGGTCACAAGCACATTTTCTGTTAAAATATGCAATTTATTTTTATTATAAAATGTAGATCAGAAATACGTATGTCAGAACACATACATTTCATTCAGAACCATTAAAATTTAAGTAAAGAACTATCTAAGAAGACTCTAGTGAACATTAGTGTTTTGCTACAGTACACAACAATGCAGGTTATTAAATTATGTTATTATTATTTAATAGCCCACTATAAAACAGTTATAACACTATTATTTAAATTGAGTAATTTAATTTTAATGTTCGTTTCCACACTTAGGTGGATGGTTTATTATTTATTTATACTCTACGCACAAAAAAATGTGAGCAAATTTAACGTTAACATCATTATCAAGTAGTCAAGCTTGGGGTAGTAGAGAAGTGAGAAGGTGATAATAAAAATAAGAAAACTTATACCTACTAAAATTTTTAGCAATCTGTATAACATATACTAGGCACTGGTTGTGCATACAATAATAATAGAAATGTGAACTGGACAAATACTTTTGACTTTCTTCCAGTGAGTAAGGAAGGCCTCTCAAGCTCAATGGTTTGCAACATATAAGGGGTATACCTGATGTTCACCTGTTCACCTGATGGTCATCCCTTACCATTAGGTGAGTTTGAAATAAAAAAACATTATGCTATGGTAGTCAGGCTCTAATCAGTCCATAACTAAAGAAATGAATGAAAACAAAATAGAACACAGCCTGTCCTAAAGCAATCAAAGCATATGCTTGCAAAGTACTTCAAACAACATCCTTCTAAGGTTGACTTGAACATATGTATGTTTCTATAAAGTAGTTTAGTAAAGTTTCATGTAAAGCCCAATGGCTTTCTACATAGAAAGCCATTAAAAAACCAAACTTTGTGAAGTTCAATAACTTCGCCTAGTTTAGTGGCACAAAATACCCAATAGTATTTATTGTTATTATTTATTGATTTATTTAAAAAAAATAGACATAAAAAGGCGTGACTTAAAACAATCAGCATTATCTGCCAGTCAATATTTTAGTGGTGCAGAGAAGTTGGTTATTTTATAAACTAAAATAAGTTTTATTAAATTTATTTAGATTTTCGACAAAAACACCTTAGATAAGAATTAATTTAAATCTGTCAGTCATAAAGCTTTTTCTTCAGACTCAAATTCTATCAAAATAAGTTATCTTTTTTTTCCATTAAATAGTGTACTTTGGTGGTTCTAGATATTACATATACCAAACAAATAATTGACACTTTTTTATAATATTTATATATAGGTAAGCCTTTCACAATCCACCTGGAAAATGATTTGCATTATTGTTTAATTCGATTTATGGATGTTTATTACTACACTTTTAATTCAATACACTCCAGCAACCTTAGTTCATATCCCTTTGCCGGCACCAATGAAGTGCTGTTTATTTTAAATGCTGACTTATCACATGCTCAGCGGTTAAGGAAAACATCGGGAGGAAACTTGCATTGAAGTGATCAATCTCCAAGTAAGGATTTAATGTCACTTTGTAATCACCACATAG